CTGCGACTTGCGTTTAATGTAGAACGGCCTTTGAGTTCCACTTTTGTGGAAATACGGCTAAAACCAGCGGCTGAAACCGTCGTAAAAAATTACTATAGGATGGCCGCTCTCAGGTTTCTCTCTGTTCAAACGTTTCCACCGATTAAAATTGTATGTCAATTTGCTGCCACTCCGGTAAAACTTATAGATCGAAGCAAAAGTGAATTGAGTGCAATTCGTGTTTCCATCGACTTAAATTTGATTCTACGCCGCAGTAGGTGTGAATTAATGTTTCGGTGGAAACTAGACCTCTGATATAATACTTCTATATTGCTAGTACGGTGCCGACCTGGGGTACGTTCCAAAATCCTACCTTGGTTACTAAAATGCTATATTTCACGTCACGTGTACTATAGTTTTTGGTAACCAAAGTAGGATTTTGGAACATACCCCTGAAGCTCAAATGTTACGGTGCAGACAATATAGTAGCCTCTTTCTCGTGCAAGGTCCAGCTACTTTGTGCGCATGCGGTGAACATTCAAGCACGCTTGGGCATTTTTCTTTCTCGCGTTATTTCTGTCTCACTTTCCAATGCTTTGTCTCACTCGCACTCACTTGGTAAATGCGCCTGCGCATAATGACGCTCGACTATCTATGCCCATATTTGGACTTCGTGCGTCTCCCTTTCTCGGGCCTCGTGCCTCTCATTGCGAAGATACGCGACCAGAGATGCCAGATCGCGCTGGACAGCATCGAGAGTATCGAAGCGGGTATCCCCACCGCCACGATGCTCTCGTACGCATACAAGCGAGAACCGCACACGGACGCTGTTTTCGCTTGTATGCGTACGAGAGCATCGAAGACGGTGGGGATACCTGCTTCGATACTCTCGATGTTGTCCGGCGCGATCTGGCATCTCTGTACGCGACTAGCCACGGCTGGTGCTATGAGAACACCGGCGTGGTGGGGATACGCACACAAACGAGAACCGTCGTCATACATCGACATAATATATCTACACTTTTCCACGAGCGCACACGGACAACGGTCTCGCTTGTGTGCGTATCTTCACTACGTCGGTGTTCTTATAGCACGGAATAGAATGTCCACGAAAAGCTAAATATTTCTTTTATTGATATAGAAATATAAAAGTAAATGTAGAAAATATATATTATAATATTTCTTTTATACGTGTGGTTTTATTTTTTTAATTGTCTCTTTATATATTTATTCATATCTGTATTTATCTATATTTTCTACATTTACTTTTATATTTCTATATATCAATTTCTCTTAAAATAAATTATTATTAATATAGAATTGTTGTTTTGGAAACTTATTTTCTTTATATATATATATATATATATATCTATTCTCTACAATTATTCTTTTCTATTTTATTTTTGCAAAAATATATATTTGAATATATATTTGAAATATATATACATTGAAATATATATTTTTTTCTTTTTTCATATCCTATTTCTTTTACCCAGTAAACAATTTATTCGCAATTTGCCAGCAAATTGTCAGCAATTTTAAGCAAAAATATTCAGCAAATTGGCATCAACTGTGTCCACATTAGGCTTCGATTTTGTTGCCAAAGCTTGTCGACAAAAAGTAACAGCAAATTGCTATCAAAAACCGAGCAAAGCTTGATAATATAACTTGAGACCAAATTGACGCCAAATATGAAGCAAGATCTGCGCAACACGATTTGATAGCAAAATGACATTTATAATATAAAAAAATGACTTAGTTCTTCATTTATGTACTCGGATAAGTTTTTTTTGGTTATTCTCTATATTGTCTTAGTATTACCTTGTAGAAAAAATTTATTATGTTAGAAATCATCTCGACTGGATTCGAACCTGGAACCTGGAACCCTTTGATTACCAAGCGGGCACTCTATCAATTTAGACATTGAAACTTTCACAATCAATTACTTTAAAACTAATATGTTAATGGCATTCAGTGGTATTGTTACTAATTCTAAATAAAANTATTTGTTACTAACCCACATAGCATCGTAAGTAGCGCAAACGTTTCTGCAACGGGTTTTCCGAAACTTAGCAACGTTTCGTGAAACGTTTCTAAAACGTCGTAGTAACGTAGCGGAAACGTCGAAATGTCCGCTTTTTAAGTTTCGGTCCGATTTCGTTAAAACGTATGAGAAACGCTGCCCGATAAGTTGCAAAGTTTTTAATGCTTATATTTTTATTACTTAAGTAATCACTCCTTCCTGGAGAATGGTTAAGCAGGTAAAACCTGCATGATTTCAAAAATGTATTTTACAATGTTTATAATAATCAGCGAATTTTTAACT